AAGGAAGGAAGGAAGGAAGGAAGGAAGGAAGGAAGGAAGGAAGGAAGAAAGGATAGAAACAGGCCAGTCTTTATGGAAATGGGGTAACTTGGGTGGTTGTGTTCAACTTAGTTTGGACATTAAATGAATTAAAATGGACACATTCAAGCTATGAGCCTTGCCTCATCAGCGCTATAAAAGCTTCCAGGAGGACTGTAATCTGACTCCTCCTCCCTATAATGTTATGCAATATTTCTATGGCTACAGAGCCCAAAAAAGAGGAAGCTAATGATTAGTTTGCTAAATGCGGTTCATGGAACAGTTCACAACTCTCAGACCTGCCAACTGCTGCTGATGTCCTTGTGTGTTCTCCTTTCTGGGGTAGAAGTTGGATCATTCCTCAGAAAAATGTACAGTAACATTTGTCTTGAATCCAGAAACCAAGGAGGGCAGCAGTGCTCATGCGCCTTGGGGACAGAGTGGGGGAAGGTCACACCAATCACAGAGCCTGGATGCCTTGGGCTTCAGCAGTCTGTGTCCGTGTCTGTGTGCTGGAGGAAAACAAGAAGCTTCAGATGACAGAGAAGGAAAAGAATTAACATCTCAGAGATCAGGACACTAAGAAAATAACATTTTTAAATCTTTAAGGACATTTGCCATAAGAGAGCTGTGTGGAATTTATCATTCTATGAATATGCTTCTTCATTGTCTGTTTTGTGCATCGAGAAAGTCTTATCGTCCTTGGTCATGTGTGAACACTCCACAAGTGTCCTGCCTTTATGAGCTACAAAGTTTGTGAGCTGAAGCCCTTCTCTGCTTCATCTGTAAATATGTGTCAGTGGAACACCCTGCATAGGAGAGGCCAGCTGCAATTGTGTGTTCTTTCTTGAGAATTAGGAGTTAAATCCTTAAGCCATTCACGAGTATTTGACCTCATCCCACTAGCATGAACATGGGTTCTTTCTCATCAGACAGAACACTATGCCTGGTGACTCATCTCCTTTCCCAGTGGAAATGCACTTAGCCCTGTAGGCAGAGTCCCTTGCTTGGCGTTCAGTCTTTGGAACTATTGAGAAAGAGGTAGTCTAGTTTCAGTCTCTATTTACCTGACATGTCATTTAAGTATCAAACTGAAAAACCAGATCTAAGTCACTGTGTATCTTTTCTTACGTTTTCAAAAGGTGGGGAATATGAACTAGGGACAACCAAGTAAAGGCACACCACTTCTCTGGTGTCCTTGTGAGTGGCTCAGAGCTGAGCCAGTTCTGCCACTATGTATGAACTTAAGGATTTTTCCAAGAGACAAGAGTTGTGGGACTGGCTTATTTGACTAAAATGGCATGCCTAGGTTCAAGTGCTGAGTCTGTCATCCAGACTCTCTCTTTTCTGCCTTTGTTTTGGAGGCTTTCTCTGAGATTCTTAATGGTGACACTTGGCCCTTAATAGAACCTTCTGGCAGCAAGCACACCAAATGGCACCTTGTCTCCTAGAAAAGTCCTGAACTTTTTGATGACTAGAGTAAGGCTTGTCCTGAACCATCCCTGCGTTGGGTCATGGTACCCTAAGTTGTGACTTTCAGCTGTCTGTCTGCCCTGGCTTCACTTTCCAACGGTAGATGGAATAATAATAAGAGAGAGTCCCAGTGAAGAGTGAGGCACTGTGCAGCAGAGGAAGGGGATGTGAGCTGGTCTGACTGGGCATGGCTGCTTGTGCAAGGGTGGGCTTTGCCTCCACACACCTAAAGGCTCTGCTGTCTCCCTGCCCCTTTTGTATATAGCCTGGCCCATCTTGCCAGTGACAGTGGTCCCTGATGGCCCATGAGGCTGTTCATCCTTGCGGTCCTCTGTCTTTTATTTTCACTGGTCTGCGTGCTGCTCTGGACAGCTGTGTGGATTTTCTCTGTCAGTAATGCATTTACTTAAAATGAATTTGACTAAAGTTACATGCAAGAAGAGGCTGAAGAAGAAGTTATCAGGAGCCAGTATGATTATGGTGGTACTTATTGTACTTAAGTCAATTGAAAAAAAATACTATAAAAAATAATAGAATCGGGCTGGTGAGATGGCTCAGTGGTTAAGAGCACTGACTGCTCTTCCAGAGGTCATGAGTTCAAATCCCAGCAACCACATGGTGGCTCACAACCATCTGCAATGATATCTGATGCCCTCTTGTGGGGTGTCTGAAGACAGCTACAGTGTACTTACATATAATAAATAAATAAATAAAAAATTTAAAAAAAAATAATAGAATCAAAGCATATACAATTCAGAAAATATAAAAACAGTAATTCTTACCACTTTAATACGATCATTATTATAATTTGAAACTGCTTTTTAGCTATTTTTTATGTGTCTCAAAAAATGTTTGAATCTTGGGTTTTTTTTTTTAGTTACCATTATATAACACAAGCATTTTCCATATCATAAATCATCAGTATTAATACAGTGTTAAGTTTAAAAAATGGCAGCATAATATTCCATCAGGGGGTATACTGTGATTCACTTAGCCACTCTCGTCTGATTAGACCTTTAAGCTGTCTCTTCCTTTCATTTTCCCTACCAAAGAGTGTGTGTTGTACAGTGTCTGGTCGGGACCTTGATTCATGATTTGTTTTATTCTCTGAGGCAATGGTGAGAAATGGAATTACTAGTTAGCAGGATCTGAGCATTTCCAGACTCTTGATGGTCCATATTGTCAAATTCCCTTTCAGTTTGTCACGTTGATATCAGCTCTAGTAATTTATGATCTGAATGCCTTTACCATATTCTTCTAACAATAGATATTTGGATGTTTAAATGTTTCTCTGATGCAATAGGTAAAATACATGTCTTATTTTTTTAACTTAAATTTTTCACTTTTCTAGTTAGTGATAAGGTTGAGTGCTTTCGTGTATGAACATTTTGCCATTATCATTTTTCATGCTTGGTTTTGTTCATTGTCTTTTCTCCATTTTAGACCCCAAAGCAGCCTCTGAGACAGAAACCGATATCTGTGCTGAATGGGAGATAAAGACCGTCACTAGTGCTCTGAAGACCTACCTGAGGTGAGGATTTCCACTTATAAGCAGCAAGCCACCTAGTTAGCATGTGGTCAGGAAGAAAGCAGTTTTCTTTGCAGTCTCCAGAGAGCTGCTGAGTGGGCGTTTGAGATGTAGAAACTGCCTCTGTGTGGGAGCGTTAAGTTCAGCTGGTCAGGCCACTCATAAATTGCCCAGGGTTGATGGGCTGTCACTGTGCTAAGGTGCTCTGAGTGATTGAGAAAGCCCTGCTCTTAATGAGATGTATTAAGATGATTAGCCCTAGACATACCCTAAACTGTGGCCTTCCATGAGTGATCTGTTATAAAAACTAGAACTGATATGTCACTGGATTGAACAGACTTGATCATATATCCAGTTTATTGCGACTGTTTTGAGCTTTACACAAAAAAATATCTTGCTTATATTGGTCCTTAAAGATGAGAGGGTAGCCGGGCGGTGGTGGCGCACGCCTTTAATCCCAGCACTTGGGAGGCAGAGATAGGCGGATTTCTGAGTTCGAGGCCAGCCTGGTCTACAGAGTGAGTTCCAAGACTGCCAGAACTACACAGAGAAACCCTGTCTCGAAAAACCAAAAAAAAAAAAAAAAAAAAAAAAAAAAAAAAAGAGAGAGGGTAGATGTGGAAAAATTACCATTTGAAAATTGCCATTTGGGGGAGGAAAAAGGAAATATTACCTTGCGCTATTATATACAGTATCATTGGTCTCCTCTAGCCCTCATTTGGACTATTGACTCACTGCTTACCACTACCCCCGACACACACACACACACACAGAAACACACATACACACACACACAGAAACACACATACATAGAAACACAAACACACAGAAACACACACACACACACAGAAACACACACACATGTACACAATGCACACACACACAGAGAAACACACACATATACACACACCACACACACCAGACACACACACACACACACGGCCCTGAAACTTACACTCAATAGGAACACTGTAATTCTGTGCTATGATTATCTAGGAGGATGGGTTATAGTCTCAAGCAGAGGAGAACTGGAATCATATATGGAATAAGCCTCTATACAGGCTTCATGAGGACTCCTGTGGCTAGGTAGCAAAGGAGGTCACAGAAAGGAGTTGGTAGTGCATACTTTCTTTGGACCTTGTAACAAGTGAGATGCAGTGCACAGCGTGAGTAAGAGTTGAGCTAGGGAAGCTGATAGAATGAAATTGAGCCACAAATGATGAAGAGTCTGGTTCTTACCTGGATTAGCAGAAAAAGCTATTTGTAGTTAATCAGGTTGCACACAGCTGATACAATATCCTATAACCCTCTGATACTTTGAAGTAATAATCCTCTTAGAACCAAAACACCTATAAACATTTTTATGGTGTTTCTAGAAGCTCTGATTTCAACAACAAACTTTTGGAGAAATGAGAGTCTGAAGGCAGCTAATGCAAATATATATACTTGCTTGTTTCTCAACATGTCCTAAAGCGCTCTTGTTCATGAATGACTCATGGACTGAAAGGAGGTCTGTGGGTTTGAGCTGTACTTCTGCATTAGCTCTTGGTGCCCTCTGACTGATGTGTAGGTGGAGCTCTCCGCTTCAAAAAGAAAAAAGGGCAGAGCCATGCAAAAGCCAGTAACCCCAGCACCTGGAAGGTGGAATAAAGATAGTGAGTTCCAGGTCAGCCTTGGGCACATAACAAGGTGTGGTGCTGAGGAAGAGGTGAGGAAACTGTGAAACTGAGGGTTTCAGGTGAAATGTCACGTGCACTGCTACACCGAGCTGCTGTCTGTCTCTGCGCCCTGAGTGTTTGAAAGATGCTATGGTGTTTTGCAGTATTCAGGGTGCTGCTCAGTAAGAGGGATCATTTTACTGTGGAACTGATGTGTCTATGTCTATACATTATTTTTATTCTAGAATGCTTCCAGGACCACTCATGATGTACCAGTTTCAAAGAAGTTTCATCAAAGCAGCAAGTAAGCGTCTTTCAGTTGAAGTATCAAGGAGAAAAGAATAGATTTTTTTTTTCTATTTCGAGGAACACCCAGAATCCCAATATAAATGCTACCTAGCCTGTCATAGTCTGCATGTGAAATGTCTGTATACAAGCTTATGAGACTCTGTCATAGTCTAAAAATGAAATGGAATCAAGACCGCCAGGGGCCTTACTAACACTGCCACTTCACAGTGGAAGAAAAAATCTTAAGAGCCAGTTTTCTTGACTGGAAGGGAGGGGAGGAGAAGGAAAGAGAGATGAGACAGAAAAGAAATTTTGCCTTTCTAGTTTTGATAATTGGTATAAATTCTTGGAGCTTTTTTTCTTTTTTTTTTTTCATCCTTAAAGCAACATTCTGTAAAATGAATTGGACATTGGAAATTTCCTAAATTGAGCAGTGGAAGTGTTTCTTTTGAGTATGGCACCCTTTGTGTAACTTCACAATCCTTTTTCCACCATGTCTTCCATTTACAGCTTCTGATCATTCTTTGGCCATATCATCTAGGTTCTTAGTTCATATTACTGCTGTTGAAATACATAGGGATTAGGTTCAAGCTACCCTAAGTATATTGGAATCTGTCTACGTGGGGCAGACCAGCAGTAATGGGGCAGTTAGATTCTCTATCAAATTTAAACCTGGCAGGACTGCTCTTGGTATTATGATGCCCATAGCTTGTGCCTCTCCCTGGATACTTTTAGCCTTTGGGTTTGTTTACCCTGGTAACTACTACTGGCCTAATTTTATAGTACCTAATGTTCCGCTAGCCTTATATACCTGAGCTTGTCCTTTCCAACAAGGAATAGAAAGGCATGGGAGAGACCTAGGAATGAAGATGGTGTTTATGTGAATTCTTTCTCAAGAGAAATTCCAAACCCAGAGCAATCATTCTCTAATTAAACTTCACATCAGTTCTATAAATAGATATGGTGCATATTAGCAATTTATTTCCCAGAGAAACAATACCACTTTCCCAAATTGAATCAAATGGTAGCAGGCTATAGAGTGACAGAAAGATTTTTTTTTTTTTCAGAAAGATTTAAATGTTCTATCTGCCACTGCGTTCTTCATACTTGACTGGTGTGTTACATGTAACTTAAGCATAGTGGTGGGTTTTTTTGTGCATCTGAACACATGATTTTGAAATTTGAGACCTTGGTGCTGTTCACATAAGATCTGTTTACCACTTCACAAGTGCATAAAGTTCCTTCTTTCCTTGAAATGAAGTTGGCCCTCTAGGGAGCCAGCTGCTCCCGTGTTTGTTCCTCCCTGGGTTGACCAGCTCCATTTCATCACAGTCATTAGCTGGATGAACTCTGCTACAGAAAGCACACTGAAAGGCCTTCTAGCCTGCCACACTGCTTCTAAGCATGCACGCAAGACAGAGTGGTAAATCCTCAAGACCATCTTCCCTGTGTTAGTGCTGAGGCTTTAGTCCCCCTTGGTCTTGTCCAGTAACTTAGCTGTGACTCCAGTACTTTACCCCTTCTCCTTCACAGAGCTGGAAAACCAAGAGACTCGTGTCTCTGAGATCCATAGCCTTGTCCATCGGCTCCCAGAGAAGAATCGGCAGATGCTGCAGTTGCTCATGAACCACCTGGCCAAGTATGTTCCCCCCCAGCCCCCCAACTACTGCTCTTCTGTCACCCCAGAGAGTTCTGACCTCCACAGGAAGTCAGTGTGTGTCTCTCCCACTGTTAGGTCAGGTAGGCTGGAGCCTCAGGAAAGAAGTATGTATAATGGTGACTCTAGAGAACACATTTAGTGCCAGGAGGCGTTTGCCAAGGAACCCACAGAGGGCCACAGGGCAGCTCACCAGAACTTGCAGGGGGACTCTTCAATCCAGAGTATGTCAGCCAATATTCCTGGTCACTGTGAAGTTTTCAGGGTTTAGACATTCTTTTGATGTCTGAGGAAAAGCAATATGTTGTGTGGTTACAGAACTTGGATTTGGAGCAAGGGTGCCCTGATTCCAGAAGTGTCTGTTCTTAAACCACGGACAAACCACAGGTTTACCCACTTCTTCGGTTCCTCATTCATCAAGTGCAGATAATAGACAGTCTTCATCTATAAGGCCATTGATTTTTTTTAATATTTATTTATTTATTTATTTATTTATTTATTTATTGTATTGATGAGTACACTGTAGCTGTCTTCAGACACACCAGAAGAGGGCATCCAATCTCATTACGGATGGTTGTGAGCCACCATGTGGTTGCTGGGATTTGAACTCAGGACCTCTGGAAGAGCAGTCAGTGCTCTTAACCACTGAGCCATCTCTCCAGCCCAAGGCCATTGATTTTTAAACTTACCTTGTTAAAGCCTCTGAAGAAGCCTAGAGAACAAGGGACTTATTTTTGGCAAATGTCCTCTTGCCCTGTAACATCACCAAAGTGTTGCATAAGGGCCTAGTTTTTGTGCTAGAAGTTTTAACAGTGTTGTGATGCTTCTGAATTTTAGAGTTCACTGTTGCCTCACCCATTTCTGAATAGCCTTGATGAATTGGTTTGTGTTAGTCGTTACATGTATGCTGCGTTCTGACCTTTCTTAAATAGAGTATTCTTCAGTATAGAAAGATAGTGGTGGTGTGGTGTCAATATGTAGAATTTACTCAATTCATTAAGTCCCATACTCACTGAACTGATGTGCCCTTAACCAGTGCTTTGCTCATGCCATTAAACCAAACCTTTGGGGTCAGCTGATGCTCATCTATAGGAGATTGTTATGGTTAGTTTTCCTTCATCTGTTAATTATTCGATGTTACCTTCCACTGTGGGGCACACATACATATACCATAAAGATTTACAAGGCTGTTATAAAGAACCAAGGGTGTATTGCGAGTTGTTGAGAAACAAGTGGGCAAAATCAAGGAGTTTTCCATTATTAATCACATTTTTTGTGATGCCATATCTGGACTGCATATTCAGAAGTAATTAGGAAGCATGGCCCAGGACATGTGAGTTTGCAGGGAGAATGCCTCCAGATTGTCAAAAGAACACCATGATGTTTGCTTAAAGTAGTGGGAGCACGGCTTCAGGAAACAGCTCCTGATGCTCTCAGATGAACTTGGTGCTTGCTCCATACAACCCAGAGCTGAGCATTTGCCATCCTAGAAAGCTAGTTTCTGTCATTACAAACAGAACTTCGCATACTTCAGGCAGACATTGAAATAATGAGGTTCCAGGTGTGCTCTTGGCTACCTATATGAGGGGTGCTTGTGACTGGCAGTGGCCTCTGAATCTTCAAGTGGCCATGTAGCCTGCTGGAAGCAGGTGGAAGAGAGAAGGGCTGGAAACTAGCTGAAAGCTGGCTCTTTTCATGCATTGAGACTAGAATGAGTATAGTTGGATCACAAGGTAATGGTGATCCACCAGAACCCAAATTGAAATTTTCCCATTTATAAATTGCCCCAAGGATTAAGACTCTTTAAAGAAGAAAACAATTAAAGCAATAAAACAAAACAGTCTGTATTCTTACTACAACTAGAGAATATGCAAGTTGTGCCTGTGGTGTTGACTTCTTGCTTTGTTTCCCCCCACCCCTGCCTGGGGGTTATTTGTTCCATATCTGGAGTCCTTGTGGTATTGGTTACTTTGGCCTTCTGTCATTTGCTTGTTCATTTAAGTATCAAGATGTCTACCAGTCATCTAGCTCCTGTACTTTACCGTGGGTTAAAGCTGCTGAGGTGAAGCAGCGCCCTTGGTCCACAGAGCTTGCTTCCAAATGTAAACTGCCCCTGAGTTCTCATTAGCGCTCAGGGGAGTTCTCAGACCACACTTGAACTGTGTTCTGCTTACGCCACTGCCCTTATTTAGAGCCCAGCTGTAAGGGAAACTGAGCTTGGGGCAGGCAGGGGCTTTGTTTAATTCCAGGGTTCTCAGGTTCAGGCTTAGCCTAGGACTGGCCTGGGCTATTGTTCCCTGGCCACTTGCTTAATGGTCAGCTTCCTTCCGAAGTTTTGGTTTCAGAGCTGACTGCTGGAAAATCCAGTGTTTACTTCTCTTCTTACCTACTCCCTGGCTGTAGATCTCCGCCTCTGGTTCAAAGTCAGACAATATGTATTGTCACTGTTTGCTTAACATTTTATTAAGTTTTATATTTATGTAAAATTTCTAGGAATTTTATATTAAATCTCAAGAAAAAGTACATTTGGAAGATTGGCAGACGCTTTTAAGGAAAAGTTAAAACTCCTGACCTCTAAAGCCAAGTGATTACTAAGACGGATCCAAGTCAGGGAGAGGTTGGGTCTGTTCCAGACCTCATGGGGAACATCAAAATTACAGGCAACCATGCGCATGTTTGTGTTGATCCAGCTTAAATCTACTCTGATAATTAGATGTTTTCTATCTGTGCCGTGGGATCCAGTATGCAATCTGGAGTCACTTGTCTGCATGTGTGCTTGGAATCAACACAGATGCTGGTTCATGCTGGCACTTCTGGACCATGCTGAGGAGACCCTTCTAGCAGCTGCTACATTTCCGGGTTGTTTTCCAGATAGATAAGACACAAACAGACCTTTTGAGACCCACTGGCCAGCAAGAGAGGCCGTACAGGATGAGTTCTGAGGAAAGGGAGATGGTATTAGAAAGGAATATGAGTTGGAATTTTGGAGTATATTAATGATGGAAGAAGCAAATTGACTCTTCACATACAAAAGATACCATTGTTATCATTAAATTGGTCTTTTAAAATATCTTGTCTTGATTTCTCCAGATTTGGTATTAAATTGATCTCTAAGCACATGAATTTATTTTAAAATACCAGCAGGACATTTTCATTATGAAGGAAGTCATGTCCAGCTAGCTTTGATCAGTTCTGCTTCCTTAAGTGTCTCCTCAGTATTCTGATGTGTGTGTGTGTGTGTGTGTGTGAGAGAGAGAGAGAGAGAGAGAGAGAGAGAGAGAGAGAGAGAGTTTCTGTGTCTTTACTAAGTAGGCATGGGTGCAGGTATGGCTCTAAACAGAAACAAGAAAGAAAAGTCCTGATCTTATAATGTTATAATTGTGGAATAAAAACACAATGGATGAGTAATGGACAGACTTCACGGTAGTTTCCTAATGTTTACATATTTGATGACTCCAAGTATGTTGGCTATCCCCACACATATCATTCACAGTGGCTCACCCTTAACTTTATTACAGTGTCTGTGCTCTGTAGGAGGATTTCAAAGCATTCTCTATATAACAGGGGTCACGATTAAAAAATACCCTTCCAGAGCTGGTTTTCCCAAAGTACTTCCTAAGAAATAAATCTTACTTTTTTCATTTTTGATGCAGTTTCCCCAGTGTGGCTAGGCCCACAGATCTTCTTGTCACAAGAAGATCTTGTGTTGTTTAGGATGTTTTGAGCTTCAATTAAGAGAACACCTAATTCAAAATGGCTTAATAAAGGGATCTATTATGTCCTTACAAGGACTCAATCCTGAGAGCTGGCTTCTGAAGGATCCAGGTTATTCCAGCTCAGCCAACCTCCTCTGGAGGTCATAAGATGTTATATTGTGTCCCTGCACATCAGTGCTTGGCAGAGGCAGAAGAAACTGTTTCTTCTTGAGCCTCTTTAGGAGTTATATTGATGCTCCCCAAGATGTTCTCCACAGACCTGCAGACACATTCCCGGGCCCCCTTGGTCCAAAGCAGTTTGGAGCAAGAGAGGAATCATCATGAGTAGGTTACAACAGACAGCTTTTACCTGAGCTGCTGAGGGAAGCACAGACACTAGAATGAAAACAGAATAGGAGCTGTCTGTAGGCAGCCTCATGTCTGCAGCTCATCCTGCCTACTCCAAGGCGCCTTAGTGAAGTAACAGTGAGCAGATGTTAGGTTCACTAGAGACCATCCCAAGAAGTGATGACTCATCGGGACGCTTGGGACCAAATGGCCAATTTTTGTGGTTTTGTCTCATGTATACCAAATTATGACATTTGGGGGTAAAAGACTAATAAAGAAGGTAAATACAACTCTGTGCTTATGCCCCTCCCTACTATCTGATGTTTATTTTTGATCATCTGTCATGTTGTAACTTTCTAAAAGGACGTCAGTCTAACAATTATAGGGATCATGAAAGAAAAATATGGGACAAATGCTTGGCGTGGAATTAAGAGAGACTTTTTGTTTGACAGATATTTCTAAGGATCTGGTAGCTTTGATTTTTTTTTTCCTCAATCCTATGACTGAAGCCAGAGTACTTGCATCCTTCAAATCAAGAAGGAAACATCCAAGTTTTTTTTAGGATCTAGAAGCAGTGGGGTTGAGATCATGTAGAAATGTTGTTGTTATAAGCCAAGGTAGGCTTTGGCTCCAAACAGGGTAGCACCTAATGGTTAACTAGCATTCCATGAGATTCTTGAAGGATCAGAATAAAAGGAGGTGGGTACTATTATACACACTGGCACATAGCTCCCATATAACTCTACTGTGCTCTCTCCATCCCAGGCTTCAAAGATAAAATTCAGAATGAGCTGTTAACTACGTGAGAAATGCTAGTGTTTTCTTTGCCACCAATGGTGCTCCAAAACAGGGGTGAGAACTTGCAGTCACATTCACTGCAATTAATGCTTCTGATACAATTGCTGTTAGAGATGGGTGGTCCTGTGGTTTCTCAGGCTG